CTGTGAGAAATTTCTAGTGCTCAGAGAAAGAGATTCTGTTTTTCGAATCCAGAAACCAAGAAATGCAAAACACTTCGAATATTTGGAATGGCTTCGTAGCAATTATTCAGATTCGAATGTTTTGCTGAAAACCACCACGCCCAGATTTTCGAGGGGCGGCTGTCTAATCTGATCTGTCACAAAAGCCTCTAGCACCTGCTTCTGAAAGAATTCTCACCTATTTTGGCAAATTGGAAAAGATTAGAAAGTCTTCCTAAGAGCAATGATTGAAATTATTGAATTATAATTCCATCAACATAAATTCAGTGCTATTCTTCATATTCATTCAATGTATAGATATCCATGTATCTGTACACGATAAACTATTATGACTATGATATATGACTGTGATATATATAATAGACTCTGAATAAGCTTTGAATAGACTATAAAATTATAAATTAGAAATCAATATGCGAGGGGTGCAGCTATCGGCAAAATGCTTGGTCTTCGTGTTCGCCTGCCAGTGCTGGGGGGCTTAGCAAGGGCTGAATAATTGGGGTCCGCGTTAACCGCTTGTGGTGCCCCCCACCGGAAGGTCCACCCTACTCCCTGACTACCAGTGTTAGGCCAGGGGGCAACATGGAATTGTGAGGTAGGTATGCTTCCCGGGGTCCGCTGCATAGCCTGTTAAGTGGTGTTAGGCAGGTAGCGAAAGGGGAGCTTGAGAGACTTGACAGAAGAATATAGCATAGGGAAAAAAAAAGAGCCCCCCAGTGAAACCTTTTCTTGTGCGATTATGGCCCCAACCTCGCAAGACTTACCTTCTTCATTGCCTACGAAAATTCCGCCGGCTCGGGGCTACCAGACACAATGACTGGTGGCGCCTTGGAAAACAGAAAACTTGAAGTTGTGCCTCTGGCGTTTTGGCAGAGGTGGGCGTGCATCGTGCATTGCAGTGCCGCCAGGACTGGGTGTACTCGTGGTTTATACCACCAGTACATCACCCCAGGCAACGCTCGGCTCAATCCGAAAATTCCATCCAAATATTTTGGCCGCTCGGGGCGACTGGACCAAGATGGCCGCTCGCGGCACCATGCTTTGCCGTGGCGCCATGCTTTGCCGAGGCAAAATGAAAACAAAGTACCGTGCGCAGGCGTTTGAGCAAAGCATAGCGCGCAGGGTGAAGCAGGGTGAATCCGCCTTGTATTAAAGAGGCTCGGATGTGCAGGTGAACCCGTCCCCACCCTCCCCCTCTCTACTGGCCTCACCCTGCCTCGTAAGTAGATTACCAAATGGTACATGACCAAGGCCCTACTCACATTAGCACTTTCCTACGTGCGTATGCCATCTCTCTCTCTCTCTCTCTCTCTCTCTCTCTCTCTCTCTCTCTCTCTCTCTCTCTCTCTCTCTCTCTCTCTCTCTCTCTCTCTCTCCTATCCCATTGTTTGTCTTGGCGCGCTCAATCGGACCTTCGAATTCTGAGTAAGAAAAAGAAGGAAAACAACGACTGGGTACGGCGTCTCCAGTTTTACTCTGCCCCGTCCTTTCTTCTTTTCCAATTTCTTCTTGAGATGATGACTAGCTGAGAATTCTCTGCAAACCACCAGTACATCCGAGCCTCGTTAACTTTCGCGTACTGCTTCCAGGCTTGACCTAATACGAGGCAGATTGTCACTGAACGCCAGGCTTTGCCAAAATGCCAGCTCGGCATTTTTTTGTTTTAGTTTGGATGGCGCGGTCAGCCGCTTTGATGCCTGGAGCCTGTGATTTTTCTGGAGAGGGCTCCGTGGCGACTCTCAAGTTGGATGCGGCCGTGTGCTAGTGTATCAGAGCTTTGAACGGCTAGTCCATGTGCAGGTGGCACTGTTCTCTTTTTTTTGGGTCTACCAGTACCGGGCAAAAACTGCAGTGCCCGGGCCCGGCAGAGGCCCAGTGGAAAGGGGTAACTGGAGTTAATTTTTGAACCATCAGTGGTTGGCCCAGCTATCGGCGGTGGGAAAAAATAGAGTACAAAGTACTACAAACAATTGAAGTTGGATGAATTTGGCCGCTCCTGTAGTGGTCAGTCGGTTTCGTACAATTGTTGCTTTGTTACGGGCACAACTTTAGGAAGCACTGGTGGTACTGGTGGTTTAAAGGACGGTGATCCGGGTGATGCAGATTCTCGGCTCAGAAAATTGCGACTTTCAGTCCGTTCCTGTCAATGATCCTGTTGTTGAGGGGCGCTGGACCCGGTTCCCAGCAGGTGCAGCTGCTCACCAATAGATGGTGCCTTCAACCGGGGACAGGTACTAGAGGTGGCTGCTCTTATCGCCCCCTCAAGTAGAGGTCGCTGGTTAAAATTGAAAAAGAAAAAACCAAAAAAAAACGAGGACCTGTTCATGTCCCCAGCTATAGAGGTGAGAGGCTTGCGTGCCGTCGATAAAATAAATCGACAGTGGGCGGCCTCCGAAAGGGGCCAGGGCTGGTGGCTGACTGGTGGTTTAGACCAACTGTACCGCTGAAAGTCACAGGGGTTAACACACCGCAGCAGTGAACGTGCCACTATGGAAGCGCCCAAATTCCTCGACTAGAAAGGATTCTACTCTATTTTTCCCTCGCCCGAAAAATAAATATATACAGCGTTATCGGTTAGGCGATTCTGCAGACTGTTGAGGGTTCAGCCTCCTGACGAGTAGATAGGTGCAACTCCGACAAAACAGTTTGTCACAGCCCCTCGTTTGTTGTCCTCTTCTCCCTCCCCTCCCTCTCTGCCTACGGTTCACTGGGCAGCTCTGTTTGACTATATATACTGGGCAGCTCTGTTGACTGTCTTCCTCTTCCACAGCAAAAGGCAAAAGGCAGGTCTTTCCAGACGTCCGTCAAAATTGGGATGTTGCAGAGAGGATTGGCATGGAAAAAAGAAAAGACGGTCTGAAAAACACGATGACAACTTGTTGGATTCTCTTTCCCCATTAAAAAAAAAATATAAATGTGAAAGCGAAAAAAAAAAAAAAAAAAGATTGCCTCCTCCCAAAATATGATCAGATAGCCTTGAGGTTGACTGAAGAAATCTCTCATATCATATGAATGAGGTCACTTTACGCCAATTTGCTCATTGACTCTCTCTCTCTCTCTCTCTCTCTCTCTCTCTCTCTCTCTCTCTCTCTCTCTCTCTCTCTCTCTCTCTGTGTGTGCGCGTGCGCTTCTCCACGAGCTGCCACATGGAAGCTTTCTCTCTCTCTCTCTCTCTCTCTCTCTCTCTCTCTCTCTCTCTCTCTCTCTCTCTCTTGACCATGAGGCTGGCGTCGACCTACGTGTGCAGGAGAGAAAGTGACTCATGATTCAACCGGTAGCTCAATCACCCGACGATCATTTCACAGAAAGCCACTCCTAGCCTGAAACTGCAGGCCCGTGCAGGGTCGTATCATATGAAACCCCTTTTCTTTGTTTTCTCTTTATTTTTTGTTTGGAGGCATACGGAACCCGTTTTTTCTTGTCCCCTGACAAGAGCAGATCATCGACTTGAGCACCTGCAGTTTACAGCTCCGATCAGAACAACGAGGCAGTTCAACAGACAAGAAAAAACAGGCATTCCAGAACTACCGTCTTTACCTGAATAGAACTCTCGGTCATTATACCTGATTTTTGCATAACTTTCGGTCCAGATGCAGTAACAATGATTGGGCATTCTATTCGCGTGAGAAGACGGTAGCAGAAAATATAGAGACGGAACAAACATGCACATTCCGCTGGTGAGCAAAAAGAATCAGAGGGTGAACCCCTCTTAAAGGTAGGTTGTCCTTAGACAGTGAGACCTCTACCCGGATTCCGGATTCTAAACCAGTGTCGCTGAGGTACGGGGTAACTTAGGTTAGTCTCACTGTGGTCAGATGCGGGCCGACCTGGAGAGAGAGAGAGAGAGAGAGAGAGAGAGAGAGGCCGTGGCATGGACATGTTTGCCCACACAAACACACACACACACACACACACACACACACACANCACACACACACACACAGAGAGAGAGAGAGAGAGAGAGAGAGAGAGAGAGAGAGAGAGAGAGAGAGAGAGAGAGAGAGAGAGAGAGAGAGAGGCCGTGGAATGCAACAACATGGTTGCCGTTTTTATAGATGTGGACATTGTTAGATGAACTTTGAATCTTGGATCGATATATCTGCAGATTTACACGTTTGTAGGCCTTTAGTTCTGATACGTAGATGATCTTTCGATGCATGTTAGATGTGGATCTGAAGGTCTATACATACGTAGACCATCTTACCTTCAGAGGATTTTATAATGCCACATATGCGTACAAACATATGTGGTACATATGTGGTACATATCTCACGTTGATGCGAAGTTTGCACTGAAGTGAAAACAAGAAAAAAAGGAGAGACAAGGAGACAGGCGTACGTGTACACAGCAGAGCCAGATGCTCCATCCTAAGCACATTGTCAATCCTTCTCCCTGATGGTACAGAAAAGGAAAGACCAAGGAAACCCTTATGGAGTGTCACCAAATTCCAAACCAAAAGACAGGGTGCCGTCTTCAAGGTTGCAAAAAAAAAAGAAAAAAAAAGAGGGAAAATACAAAATCAAGAAAGCATGAAACTCGAAGAATGAAATTCTGGAAATGAAATTCCGAAAGGGAAATCCTAACAAACCGATCCCAACTTCAGTCACCTCCACACATCTACCTGCTCCGAGGCTGCTCGTCTTCCCTGGCCTTCTCATCGTCCTCATCCTCCTCGTCCTCGTCCTCCTCTCGACTCTTTCCTCGTCCGCCGCTCCTCGTTCACAACCCTCTCCTCTTCTTCCTCCTCATCGTCCCTCCCTCCCTCATTCCTCCTCCCTCCTCCCTGCGCTCCTCTTCCCCTCCTCTCCTCCCTCCTCCCCACCTGCTCTCCTCCCTCCTGCCCCCTTCCTCTTCTCCCTCCCCCCCCCCTCCTCCCCCCCTCCGCACCCCCCTCCTCTCCTCCATCGTCTCCTCCCTCTGCACCTCCTCCTCTCCTCCCTCCATACCCCCTCCTCTCCTCCCTCATCCTCCTACATTTGTTGGTCAATCTCCTCAGCAATATGCTTGTAGTATGTCCATCTCTGAATCAACATCTTTGCGTGCTCAGTGTTTGGCATCCAGCACTGTGGCCACGGCCTCCATGTTGTTCACTGCCTTCTCGGAGTTCTCATCAGCAAGCCTCTTTAACATGCCGCTGTCGCCATTTGCGTGTTCAATCCTCTCGCGGAAATCCATCACTTCCATCAGCAAGCTTCTGTCCTGTACAGTGCCGTCCTCTATGTCGTTTCCCACCTCGGGTGCCTCTAGTTGAACCATATACATGGCCCTCGAGAGTGGGCGTTTGAGGGTGTAGTATGCGTTGACCGCATGCGCCGATTGCTGAGCGGAATGAGCTTTCTCTGTGGCCGACTTGGTCGCAAACAGGTCTGGATGCAGGCGCTTTTGCCAGAACTCCTGTTTCAGCGAAAAGAGATCAAAGTGATTGACGCTCAATCGACTTGTTGAATCAACCTGCAATTCTCACAGAAGAAGAGACTGGCAGTGGAACCTGGTACCCTCCGTTGACCGCAGTTCCAGCACCGAAATGACGACTCGCAAGAGCCAACCTCCGTGGTCCCGCCAAACGCTTCGTTGCTAACCTCTGCGGTCCCGGTTAGGTTATCTCCTTCGGTACCGACTGTGCTTCTCACGGTACCGTTCACTTCGGTGGCTGCACCGTTCGCCATCACTGCTTCGCCATACACCCTCTCACCCTTTGCTAGATACGGCGCCCCATTCTCCTTGGACTCTGAAGGGACCCCTTCTGTGGGTCCCACATCGTCATCGCTGTCCTGCTGGTCTTCCTCCTCTTGAGCTGCCGATGCGGCATATGATGTAAATGTTGCGGATGCCTTTGTCTCGAACAGCATGTCCGCTACCGGTGTATCTATCATCAGCTGGCTCTCTGTCATGGTCGTCATATGGCGACATGCGCAATGAGCAAGGTTCCGCCGACAGATTACAGACGACGATTGTAGGGTTCGAGAAACTGAAGTGTTGGTGATGACTGGAGAGGATGGTGCTATCCCAGCGCCAGATACCGCCTGCAACTGCTGCGAAGCGGTGGTGGCACCCCGGTCGAGGAAGCATTGGGAGGAGCCTGTTATCGCGCAACTCATGTTGTTATCATTGCTGCCTTTTCCTCCTGCCGATGACGAGCTTGCCGAGTTTCCATTCTGAAATAGACAGCACCCGAGCCCGGCCTCGTCCCCCTCCGTCGACACTGGAGCAGACAAGAGTCTCCGGCATTGACTGACTGGGCGCCCGTCAGGACAAATCTTCACTCTTCCTGCACCGTCCAGCGCCAGCTCTGACAGCCTTGAGCATAGCTGGGAATCTGGAAGCTTCAGAGAATTGCCAAGTAGCTTCCTCATCTCTCTCTCTCTCTCTCTCTCTCTCTC